GAGGCCTCCCCAGGGCTGAGGAGAGGGGCAGGATCACCTCCCTCCACCTGCTGGCAACACTCTGCCTAATACACCCCAGTATCCCATTGGCCTTCTTGGCCACAAAGGCACACTGGTGGCTCATGGTCAACTTGTTGTCCACCAGGACTCCCAGGTCCTTCTCTGCAGAGCCGCTTTCCAGCAGGTCAACCCCCAACCTGTCCTGGTGCATGGGGTTATTCCTGCCTAGGTGCAGGACCCTGCCCTTGCCTTTGTGGAACTTCAGGAGGTTCCTCTCTGCCCATCTCTCCAGCCTGTCCAGGTTCCTCTGAATGGCAGCACAGTCTTCTGGTGTGTCAGCCTCTCCCCCCAGTTTAGTATCATCAGCAAACTTGCTGAGGGTGCACTCTGTGCCTTCCTCCAGGTCATTGATGAATATATTGAACAAGACTGGACCCAGGACTGACCCCTGGGGGAGCCCGCTAGCTACAGGCCTCCAACAAGACTGTGCCATTCACCACAACCCTCTGAGCTCTGCCATCCAGCCAGTTCTCAATCCACCTCACTGTCCACTCGTCTAGCCCACACTTCCTGAGCTTACCTAGGAGGATGTGGTAGAAGAGAGTGTCAAAAGCCTTGCTGAAGCCTTGCTGAAGAATTAAGGAAAGAAACAAAAAATGAGTCTGTGCATACCTTATGTTTCTGAGGAGAGAACAGAGCAAAGCCTTTACAGGCTTAGCTGCCTCATGTTCTGAAAAATGGTGAGGGCAGGTTCCAGACATGTAAAGTCTATTTGACCAGACCGTCGTTGCTAATGAGTACAGTTATGCTCAGGCTTGAGAATTTTTTTTTTTTTTTAAAAAGGGGGGGGATTTTTTTTTTCAGAAATGATTGCTTAAAATAGAGATTGAAAAAAATACCATTAATAATAAAAAGTAAGTTCCTGGTAAGTGTTGGTCTAAACACAAATTTTGTTTTTTCTTATGTTCTTGCATGTGAATTATCTGCAATATTTTCTGTCTTACCTCCTTTTTGCTTACTTGTAAGTGCATATAAACACGTTTAGATTCCAAAGAGGCTTAATCATCACATAAGTGTTATAACTCAAGATTACTGCCAGTACAGTCCTGTTATGCTATGAGAAGGCTGTATTTATGTTTATATGAAAATAATATAAATTAATGAAAAAATGGTACTTAAAGAGGCTGGATTTTAAAGTGCAGAATGCTTTTTGTATGCTTTGTGATTTTTAAAATAGGTTGTGCTCTATTAGTATATTAATACATTACTTATAAATATTTACATGCTGCTGATATATTTCATTTAATTGAAAAAGGCTGAAATTGATTTCCGTATAGTTGTGCTAGAAATCTTACTTGATTTTAATCTTACTGTTGGTAAAGAACATATGCAGCTGGAACCATGACTGCTTGAATCTCCATTTGTTTGCCTTGAAACACTTTGTTTAAATTTTCCATATTCTTTAGGGTTAGTCCTGCTGCTAATGGACAAGTATGTATATTTAGGTAAAAAAAATTATTTTCTGCTGAAAAACTGGGAACAAAAACTGATGAATATTATTGTAGAACTCTTCCTGTGTTCAGAACTTCTTTAATTTCAGCCACTAGTGTGCAAAAAGTACAAGTTGATTCAAAATAGTTGCTCTAACACCACAGAGGGGGAGCTGTATTGTCTGCAAATGTCAGACTGAGTACAGAGGAAGAAACTCAAAAGTCTCAAACTTGCTGCAAACTTGCTGCCTCTTTACTCAGGTGTATAACTACATACAAATATTCCTGTAGCTCTAGTACGGTAATAAATGCAATAGATGACTGTTAGTGGGAAACCTTGTGTTGATCCATGCCTTGAGTCCATTGCATAATGCACATTATATGAATATACGTTGTTTGCATGGACTTAGATGCTTTGATTTGTTAGTCTCTTATCTAGTTTTATGAATCTGTTGTTTGCAGGGATATACTATTGTATATACATTTATGATTACCAATGCCTGAATAGCAACAGCAGAGATGCTTGTGTAAACTGACAGGGCTAATATGTATAAAATAGTTTAAAAATTACGAATTTTTCTTTCTAAGATAAACTGGAGTAACTCAACTTAATAGAGTTAAATAAGTCACATCCCATCACTTATTTTTTACTATAATGAGGAATTTTCTTCCAGACACCTGAACATCCAAGAAACATGAGTACTCTTTGTGCTTGTTTGGCTGTCAGTATAACTTAAAATGAATCTGTCATTTGCACATTGACAAGCAGACATGCATTCCCAGATGCAGTTTCATTTTGTAAGTAGCAGAATTTGTGCTGAGTTGTCGCTGGGCCTGACTGTTTACCAAAACTACAGGAGGGTTGGTTTTGCTTTGTGAATCCCTAGTCTCTGTATAGTTCAAAGAGGGTCCCTATAGTGTATTAACAGCTTTCATTGTAAAAGCATGTTGCTAAGTATATGAGGTCAGCAATCTAGCAAGACTTTTTTTATTACAACTATAAACAAGTTTACATATAGAATTATGCATATTTTTTTAAAGGTGAAGTTACAGTGCAAACTGGAGATCTGTTGCCATGTAGGATCTGTGGAAGGACTTTCTTTCCAGCAGCACTGGTGAGTGATATGAACGCTTTTTATCTGTTGACTAGTAGATCTTTTAAATTGGTGTGAGAGTTAGGCAATGGTCAGTATAGCTAAATAAAATGGATCTAGGTATCTGTTTTTTGCAACTAATTAATGAATCCAGTTGTCTCATTTTAGAAGTACTTTTAAAGGAGATTTTTTTTTTTTTTTCACGGCCCCATAATTTTCTGAAAACACAGGTCCCTCTAAAAGCATCTTCTTTTGGGCACAGAGCCGTTCCCTTGCCTCTGAAAGTGTAAGCCCTAGCATCATCTAGTCCCATCTGGTAAATGAAATGTTTTGTTAGCTGTCTTTGAAATGCCTTGTTCTCCATTCTTCATGGAAATTGATCTATTCTCAAATATAAATATGAATTTCAGGTGCTTCTGACTTTTATTGTTACTCAGTGCAAGTTCTGACTACCTACCATGAGTCTGTATTTGCAAGGAGCAAACATAGATGCCTTCTTTTTTTCCTCAGCTCTCAAGTCTTTGTGATCATATATATGTTTGAATTCCTGTATTTCTGTTCAAAAAGTAATAGTTGGTGTAAGTACTTGAGTGAAAGCATTCCTATCTTGTTCATCAGGAGCTAGGCCTCATTTGCTGATTGGCATTTCTAGAAAGGGGGAAATAGCATGTTAATAATTTGTGTTCAAAACAACATTCTGTGTTGTGCTTTGTTTTTTCTTCTGCTTGTAGAAAAAGCATGGACCCATTTGTCAAAAAACTTCTGCCAAGAAAAGGAAGACATTTGATTCCAGCCGACAGAGAGCAGAGGGGACTGACATTCCCACAGTGAAACCTCTTAAGCCACGAGTAGGTTATAATTTACTCTGAATATAAACATTTTAGGCAAAAGACATAAATTATAGTAAGGTTTATTTTTGCTGGTAATTCGTGATAATCAGATCAGCTAGGACCTAGAAGATATCTAACTATAATATTGCGTATTAAAATAAGACATGTTATTTATTGCGAAGTAAGAGCTCCAAACACATGAAGCTCTTTTTTGACTTCTTAGCCGGAGCCCCCCAAAAAGCCATCCAATTGGAGACGAAAGCACGAGGAATTTATAGCAACTATACGAGCAGCGAAAGGACTTAATCTTAAAGACGGTGGAAAGCTTCCTCCACCACCTCCACCATCATATGATCCTGGTATGTAAAACAGTTAAGTTCTTTAGAGGTCTTTGTAATATGAACAACTTGTAAAAATTTGCTTTTGTAAAAAAGGAACTTGTTGAAATACACTGTTCACAGGTTCTTAAAGATTACTGTCTGATTATCTGCTAATTTGTGACTGTGGGTCTGACTGACGGCACCCTGTTTAGTTTTCAATGCCTGTGACTTTAACACATCAAAAGATAGTTGTGGCCATCTTTCAGCTTGTTCCCTCAATATAATCTGTAGGCTGGATAAACTATTTCAACACCTTATTTCTGTTGGCAACTGTGGATCTGCTCAGGAAGAGCAGACTAATTTTTTAACTGGCTGCCAATTTTGGGCAGCCGTTACGTCATAGGGATGGACGTCTACTGTGTTCTTCAAATTGCAGTCGTTCCCATTTCTTTCTGAATGCACGTTTTGTTCTCTGCATGCACTGCATGCAGTTAACTGCTCCAGTGTGCATGTGTTCCTTCCTCACGTGGTGGGGATACTTGTGTTTTGGGTGTGTGAGGGACCTGGTATTTATATTAACAAGAGAGTAATAGTCCTTGAATGCCTTCGTAATGGAGGTTGGGTAAAGCGTTGAAGCAGTCTTAGGTGATTGAGGAGAAAAGGAAATAAACTTTTCAGTGAACTTCTGTGATGCGATGTTAGCTTAGAGAACATATTTCTTCTTGCTAGAAGAGCTAATGTTTTGATCAGCGCAGTGGTTATATTCAGAAAGATTGTGAACTTTACATCTGTTTTCCCTTCTACCTGTCTGTGGTCAAGTGAAGATGCAAGTGTTCCCCTCCTTGCTTCTCCACAGGAAACGCATTAGTCTCAGTAGTTCATATTAAGAAGTGAAGTATCTTATTATTCTGCATTCAGTACTCCATCTTGAGATGCTGTATGCCTTTTAAAGTAAAATAAATCCAATAACTAATGCAATGGATAAGAAACCTATGGCTTAATCATAAGTTTATGTTAATTATCTAATTATAGGATTAATTACAGGATTCTAACAATAATCCAGTAGTATAGTTTCTGAATTACAAGCAGAAGAGCCCAGAACTAAATCATGCCTGCAAAAACTACTAAAATGGTTCTCCTTTAGTTGTAATCTACAAGAGACTGCAAATTAGTTTGATGGGAAGAAAGACAGTAACTGCTCTATTCAGCCTACCTGAAAGAGGATAGGAGGTGAAGGGAGAAGAAAGGTATTGCCCCACTGTTTCTCTTCCTTCCCTTTTTTACTTTTCCAGTCTGACTCTTACTGTCTGTGTTGTCCTCTGGGTTCATCCTGCCGCAGCAAGGTAAGCAAGTCTTAACTCAAGCAAGACTTAGAGCAGGAAACTAGGAATGAAAGGAAGATGCACTAATTGATCAGTGAACATCCCTCCCTTCCCCCAGATAGAACAGCAGAAAGAAATAAAGCAGGGGTAGCTACAGTTGGTCCTTTTCTACTTGTACGTGTAAAGGAAAAGGAGAATTGTACTGGATGCTGTGAAGTACACGCGTTCTCTCTCCTGCTCAGCTCTGTTTTTGGCATGCCTACTTCTAACTTGTTGCTCCTCTCTTTTTTTTTTTTTTTTTTTTTAGTTCCTCCCTTTTAAAAACTAGTTAGTGTTTTCTATATAAATATTCCCTACTTAAGTGCTTGCTTTGAGTTTGCAAATGAGCAGTATTTTCCTTTTGAAATAGCGGAGAATAGCCTGACTATATTGAGAATGATCTTAAGTCACGCATATTTGCATCAAACTTGGCTGTGTATGTCTATACTGCTGGTTTATTTGGTTAGTTTCTATTGCAGAAAACTTGCATGCAGTCCTACCTAACAGGTCCACTGGACAATACGAACAGTATTTCCAGATAATCGAGTGTCTGACTGGTGCTAAACGTTTTACAAAAGGGTAAAGGTATAATCCCTGATACTTAAAGAGCATGTGCTAATCTTTTACAGTTTGATACGTTTACTTTAGTGGGCTTTGGAAGTCTTCTGTGGGAGTTGAGCTGTGCCCTAGTTGAAGAAATGGTCTTTCTTGTATCTCAGTGCTTCCATAGTTGTGTAATTCATATGTTTTGGTCCCCTTCTTCTCTCGCATATGGGTCTGTCTTGGGACCTAAGCTGCTATTACTGCAGAAAAATTACAATTCTTTTGCTTATGAGCTTCTGTCCCTTAGGGTGTAGTTTATGTACAAATATTCTCACAGTATTGGAGTCAATGTAAAAAATAATTCATTGTTACTGTCACCCGAAATTCGCATGCTGTCACTCCTGTGAAGGATTCTTGTGTTCTTCCTATGCTCTCTGTTCCTACTGCTCGTGTCATTAATCATTGTTTGGAAACCATTAAGTCATTTGACTTATTTTAAAATTTTTGTTTATTTTAAAGCGTAACTGCTTACACCAGATCTGCTGCCTTTGGAGTAGTAACATGTAATCCTAATCTTCTTTTAATAATCTTCTGTATAATATATTAATTGTAATCTTAAAGGCAATGACTGTCGTATCTCTTTCTTTTAATATGCCTAGAAACATACTAATTTAACCTGCTATGCCAATGTTCATCTCCTCTGAAGTTGATGTTTGAAAACTATCTGGGAATTTGAAATCCATATCTCTAGATGCTAAAATATCTATCTGAAAGTGCAGCCCAAACACTTTTATTTTCCAAGAAGAGTATATTTTACAGGGTGTATTTCCAGCATAGAGATCAGGGATGTTTAGTATTTTAAATATTAACATAGTCTGTGTGGTTTATTTATTTATTATGTTAATAGTAAGAGCATTTCCTACAAGTAGGGCTGTTTGCAATGTGACTAAATTCATCGTGAAAAAACATGGTCACAATTTATACTGTTTTGCATCTTTCTACAGATATATCCTAATTTGGGCTGAGTTTCCTCTAATTCAGACTTTTCTTGTTCCACTTCTGATTTTATGGATTTGATTTTTGGATTATCACTTCCAGTGAAGTGGTATGTCCATTTGCAGTGGCTGTTTCTCAGTTCCTTCAGAACTGTCAGAGCAAAATGAATTTGTAGTCTTTTGTTATTTGAGTGGGAAAGGTTTTAAAGCACTTCTCATACCTTGAACAAGCTGAACTGCATTTGTGATTTTTTGATTAGTCTTTTCTCTCTCCCGCTTCCTGCCTGTTGAATTCCTTGCCCCACTGACCTAACTTTTTGGCTGCTTTCCCTGCTGAGTAGCATCTCTCAAGCTGCTTCTGATATCACTTAGGTTATCTCTGATCCTCAGCCATTCTTTTTGTTCTTACCCAGCAGATGAGAAGCATGGCTTGTGTGCTGCGTGTGGGCACTAAGCTTTTCTCCACCAATCTGTATTTCATTTTCAGGTTTAAGAGACATAATTTTCTCTGGCATGTGTGTGCTCTCTAAAAGGTTGCTCTCATACTTTATTAATGTTGGGCTTTTATGTTTTTAAGATTACATTCAATGTCCATATTGCCAGAGGAGATTTAATGAAAATGCAGCTGACAGACACATCAATTTCTGTAAGGAACAAGCAGCACGTATTACTAATAAGGGGAAACTGGCTGCTGATACCAAAGGGAAGCTTCCTACTCGAACGCAGGTGAAATATCGTACTTTTCTTAACTTGTAACTTACACTGGTAAGATCAAGCCTTTTAGGTATTTTGTGTTGTCTTTAAATAGACTTAAATAATAATATTACCAAATAAAATAGTTACGGTAGACTGAAATTAGACATCATAAGCATGGAAGAAGTTTTTGCTTTCTAAGAGAATTGAGAGGGGAGGTCCATAAATTGAATGGCAGCAGTTGGAAAGAAGACAGTGTAGTCATAAATGTAATTCAGATTTGTGAAAATGACAGATACGGATAGTGTAGCAGCAGGAAGAAGAGATGGAGTATTTGTAAACAAAGTTGACTTTCTGTTGTGCAAGTCTTAAACAGTCTTAAAGTGGATTCTGAAGTGAACAAAGAAAGGTGCATGGCTATATGACAGCTGACAGCAATATTTTGGCTAATTAGAGGTTTAGATGAACTGAAGTATATTAAAGTAAGAGTTGCAGCAAAGTTATAGTGGAAGACTTCAGATGGAAAAAAGGTTATGGTCAAGGAGGAGGCACGTTTTACACTATGGAAAGCAAATGAGTGATTAAAGTGTGTGTGGGTTTTTTTTTTTTTTGTGGTGGTGTATTGTGGGTTTCTTGGAAGCTCTGAAGAGTAATGCAGATGCAAGCACTTATGTTTCTTGCATTATGTTCTTGATCGGTGCTGGAACTGGTTCAGTGCTCACAGGTAAAAGCAGAATTTGAAAGAATTAATGGGTTTGTTCTTGAGCATTCTTTTAAAAGTTACTGATAATAAGGTGGTAATGTTAACCTAAGAGACATTTACTGAAAAACATGGGAATAGCGGTAGAAAAGTGGAAAATGCACAACAAAATAACTTAAATGAAAAAACAAAGCTGCCAAGTTGGATAATCTTTCTTACTACAATCTCTTTACATGTATGAGAAAGCAAACTAGCAGAAACCATTTATGTGACCTCTGTATCAGAAACAAGTTAGCTAGTAACTAATTGTATTCTGTTTTCCTATTTAGTGCCCGAGATAGTTATCTCTGCTACTATGTAGACAGTTTGATTAAACTGCTTAAATGTTTAGGCTGTATTTTGTTACAGTACAAACCTGCTGCAGTTAAGAAGATGCCTTCTGCAGGATCAGCATCATCATCATCACGCTTACCACAGCCAAGCAGTGTTAGCAAAACTGTTGTAGGTAAGAAAAGGATGTTCTTTCTAAATATTAGAATTCAAGCTATATAACAAAGACAGTATAATTTTAATAGCTGGAAGGATTTCTACAGATTTGCCCAGTGATTCAAACTGAAGAAATACAAGTTTCACAGGAGGAGCTCAGTGTTACATGAGTAGATGACTTCTGTTTTTCATGATATGCTAATTTTTTATTGAATTTGTCTGTAATCTGAACAACAATCTGTAATTCTTCTGACTACTTATATGATGACCGTATCTTTTATTATTGAAATTGATGCTCTTATTTGCAAAAAATAATGCTGGAGAGGACACAGATTGGCCCCTATTCAGCAAGACTCTTAAGCACATATAAAGCACAAGACGGTCCTATCATATCAGGTTGATTTTTAGGGTTTTTCTGAATAGAAACTGCAAAATCATTCTGCAGTGTAATGCATAATTATATCTAATTCTGTTCTTTCACATCAGATTTTTCTGTTGTTTAGTTTTGTAACTAATTTGTGTGCAGAATACGATAGTGAATTGGTAAAAATTTGTAGAGAAAAAATGTATATTAAAATTATGCACTGATCTTACTTTAATTGCAGAGATCAGTAAGATTCTGTACACACCTTAAACGTCTTTCCTTTTTCTTGCTTAAGAAATGATGTCCAATATTTTTCATCAGAATAGAACATCTCAGTTGAATGTTTTCTGTAGATTTTGAGAATCATACTTGTCTTTTCCTAATATCTTCGTGTTTGAGAAATGTCAAGATATTAGCAAACCGTTGTTTTGAATTCTGCGATAATTGTTTATTTAATGAATTGTATAATTCCAGGAGCAGAGTCTTGTGTTTTCTTATGTTTGTATACTTTTAATTGTAAGGTGCCTCTTCAAGTAAAACGCTGTCTTCATCTGGGTCCAGTGGGAGCAAAATTCAAACGCTATCACCAGCTCATAAAAATTCATTGGGAATGGTGAACCCACAAGCAGGGTAAGTCCCCACTTAATGTTGACATTCATGCTTTATTTCGCATTTATGTTGTGCTAGTTCTAAAAGAAGTATTTATCTGCTGTTTTGCTTGTGTGATTTGTCTACGAGCTTTAAAAGTGCGGTAGTTCGATTTCAGCCTTTATTTATATAAGCAATGAATTTAGCAAGGCTGAGTTTAAGGAATATTGGGATAGGCAGAGATGTATATGTTTTCTTTTCAATGTTAAAATAACAACAAAAGAAAATCCTGACCTACCTGTGTAGCCACATATCTCTGCAATTACTTCCCTTTTTGTGTAGTCTGCTTTCTCCCTCCCATTTGCCCACCACAGCCCCCTGGCAGTAGGGAAGCAGAAGTAGGGAGGGAAGTAAAGTGGTAAAATTGTATGCAAAAATAGATTAAAAATAAAGTATACAGAAGTGGTTGGAACTCTGTGTGTGTGTCTGGTAAAAGTGAAGACTTAAAGGAGAAAACATTTGGCATAATTTCTTACTTTTAATCTCATTTTATTTCCACTGAATGTAAGGTGCCTCTCCCACTGACCAGAGAACAATTGTGTTAGGAATTTCCTTGCTAGCACAAAAAGTTGGACACTTCCTTCCCCCTACTCCCCACCCTGCTCCCTCCTTCCTATCCCAGGTTTAAAATACAGAAGACATAATGCATGAATGAACACATGTAAGGCAGTAGAAAGCTGCACATTAGTAATCTACCTCTTTCTCTTGCTGTTGTAGTGTTCAGTCAGGGTGCTAGTATGCTTAAGACCATTATTGATTTTCAGGGGAGTATTTGGTAGGCACTATCTCAGAGAAGAAATTTAAGGAAGGAATTGAGACAAATAATGTATCTTTACAGAAGTTTGAGGAGCAACAAGGAGCACTGAGAGGAAAACAAAATATAATGAGAACATGATTGCAGTTATCATTGTTGGTGATTGAAGTTGTTTTTCTTCATTTTATACAGCCTTGTTCCAATCTGCTTATAATCTGCTACTTATTTTTACAGGAAGAAATGAACTTAATGATTGTGAGGGGAAAAGGGACATGCTGAAGGAACTCATAGGGATGGGCAGCTTTATTAATTGCACAAAGTTACTGAGTTTCAGTTTATCACTCTTAAGTCTTTTTAATTAAACACCAGTACGAATTGTAGCTCTTTCGCCCTTCCTTCATAACACCATGTAGAATTAGGGTGAAGTTCTGTCCTTCCTCACTCTACCTTTTCACACCAGGTCTTTCAGATACATGCCTGAGGGAGAGTCTGGCAGGTTGTCCAAGAAGTTTCTCTACTCTTCTAGGCATCTACACTCCTACCATCAGAGGATCATACTCTCTGCTCACTGACTGTGGGGTGTGGTGTGTTTATGTTGTTGTTGTTGTTGTTGTTGTCTGTTTTTTTTAAATCTCATTCTCCTTCCCCACCCCCTCCTGTTTCTGAACCTTCCTTTTCATAACCTTTGTACCACCCATTCTCCACTGCACTCTCCTTCCATATAAGCAACCCCTACCTCTAATTATATTTTCCTCATTGGTCTCAGCTTTGCTAAGTGTGTACCTGAATTTGCCAAGTCTTTAGTCTTATATGGTGTGATTGCTACAGTTACAGATGGCCTTACAAGGTTCTAGTCCCCAAAAGATCACCCAAACTCATTTTCAGTTACCTAGTTCACACTAGTTACATAGTGCTTACCTTACGTGCTCTCTAAGTTGAATCATTTTACCTAAGCCTTTATATCTCTACCTAGTGCCAATTAAGCAAGCACTTTCCTATAAACAAACAGTCCGTGTATCAGAGCAACGTGGTTTTTTTCGCACTGTGCTCTTGTGTTCACACAGCATCCTGCTTTCCCTTAGCTGTTTAATTACAAATTGTTGCCCTCGACACGTTCTCTAGACAGTCTCCTGGCTTCCTGCCGAGACGCTATCTGTATGTGCCTAGTGGGATCTCTTGCTCATGCAGGGATTAAGGGTTTTCTAAGATGGCAGAGGATATAGTATTTCTGTAGTCTGAAGGGACTGAGTTGGAAAAGTCTGTCTGAGGGGAAACGCAAGGATTGGGAAGAGAGCGGAGGAAGTAAAAACTGTAATGTGAAGTTGGTGAAACAGCTAGAAGTTGAAGACAAAATGAGCCCTTCTGTCTCTGGTGTTAGAGAAGATCGTTCAAGGAGTAGGAAGGTGAGAGAGCACAAAGGTCATCTTTCTCTTGGGAAAAGCAAGGTCCCTATGGAGGGAAAGAAGGTAATGTCTTAGAAGCCAGCAAAATATAGCTTGGTAGTGGAGCTCTGTTAAACAAGCGTTAGAATTATATACTTGAGAGATGACAGAACAAAAAGAGAAAAAATGCTTGTAGGCTAAATTTGATTATAGAATTTCTGGTAAATAAATACTCTCTGCAGCTTAAGAGCAAAAATTAGAGGAAGCATATTCTAAAGGAGATACTTTTGTGCTAAGAGCCGTCATGGCACGACAAAACAATATGTATAGAGGAAAGAAAGGATGATGAGAACCAGTAAAACTGAATGATGGAAGGGAGCCAATTAGAAGTTGCCAGTGCTACTGTCATGTAATTGTACATGGGGGACAGTAGTGGAGTCTTAACCCTTTCATTCATATTGTAATATGGTTTAGTAAAAGGCAAGCTTAAGTAAGGGTGAACTTTCTAATGCTACGAGTTCCCAACATAGAAAGCCTTGGGGCATGGTGAAGACTAAATAAACAGAAACTACGTGATCATTGGAACTGTGGAAAATGAATGGGAGAAGTCCAGAGGCCAGGATGAAAGCCTGTGAAATTGGAAAGGATTGCTAATCTCAGTGTTAGGCAAAGAAACAAACTGTACCTGGAAATGGGAAAGGAAAAGACTTGCTATGTTGCCTTGTATGGTGAAGACCTTCACTTTTCTTTGTCTTGCATCAGACTGCTTCAGTTGTGTTCCTCCTGCTTTCTTTTCCTGTGTCTTCTCTGCCGAATTGTAAAATCAGGTGAAAGGGATCTAGATCGCTGTAGGAGGCAAGAGCTGCCTGCCATACCTAGAGGGAATTACGAAGTTCAGGATACGTTACAGATGGTTGTGATGTAATCAGAGACCACATTAATATTCCAGGAACAATAAATGTGATGGAGTGCGAGAATAAAGGAAAGGGGAATTCCTGTGGGTCAGGAAAATGCTATAAATTGAATGTGGGTGAAAGGAAAGTATTTTTACTTCTCAGAAGCAGGTGGGAGAGGGCTGGATAAGCCTAGCATTGTTACAGCTGAATGTTACCATAGGCGGAGAGGTGGAAAGTATGTGAAACCTTGATCAGTGCGGGAGGGAAATGGTGGTATAGGGAAAAAAGAATAGGTGGAAATGCTGGTTACACAAGAGTGTCAAGAGTAACAAGAGTGGGGGAAAGGAGATAATCACATTCAAAGCAATCGAGAGAAGGAAGAAGATAGCTGAGATGCAGAGGTTGAAATAACACCTACTCATGAGTGGCAAACAAGCATGTCTGCAAACTACAGTAAAACAAGTTAGCTGAGATTGTTTAAAGGCATATTTCAGACTCCAGCAAGGAATCCGAGCTATCTGGGAAAGGCTTTTTCTTACTGATAGAGATTCTAATCACAGTTTGTACAGACTTGTGAGGGGGCACACGTTTTGGTCTTAACAAGGAAGTTTTTGAATTTTTGCCAGTCAATTTGCTCTCTGGACTGCCTTGCATTCTGCCATCCTCCACTTCCTCTTTTGAATCTTGGAGGAGGAATTCTGAGGTAAAGTCAAGAAAAAAAGCCTTGGTATCTGGAGAGATGTTTGCACAGGTTCTTTCTGCTCACACATGCTTAACTGCAAATAGATGACTTCTGCTTAGCATAGTTCTCAGCTAATGATCTCTGGAGAGGGGCAGTGAATGTTAGCTTTGCTCATAACCTCATTTAATTGCCTGCACAACTCCAGTTTTCTAAGAGGATGGAGAGAGTGAATGAGACTCTGCCTGCAGTCTTCTCACTCCTCCATCCTGAAAAACTTGTGTTCTCTTCTTGTCTTTGCCAAACAGTCCTTTTGATTTCTTGCTGATCATACAGTAAACGGCCTTCTGGGGAAGACTGGTTAGTATCTCGTTGCTAAGCATTCAACCTGAGACCTTGCAGCTCTTTATTTTTCTTACTACTTTGCACTTGTTCCTGAGAACGAGTTATGCGAAAGTGAAATTGGAGCAAAGAGATGTAAGAGCGCTTACCACATTGAAAAGTTAGGTACCTCAAATTGGTCACTAGTAACAGTTTTGGCCTTAATCCTCTCGGTCTCAGTACTGAGGAAAAACGGAGGGTTCTATTGAAACACCTACAGAATTATGTCGGGAATTGAGAGGCATTTTTTTGCATGATGCCAAAGCTAGGAGGATTAAGTGGTTAATGAACTGATTTACTGAGCACAGTGTTGCACATGTGTTGCTTTAACAGAAATCTTTCAAATGCCATCAAGAGATGGCATGACATTTCCTTGAGGAAGGAGGGGGGTAATTATTTAAGAGACTACGCACTTATTTTGGCCTGGTTAAAATCCAGGTTGACTGCCGTATTTACTGTAAGAAACAAGCTCTTGCAGTGTTATTCATTCCTTAAGACAAACTGTGATTTCATGTTAATATAGGTGAAACTTTCCGTTTTCGCCTGGATGATGTGATCCCAGTTTTCTCACAGAGAGACTGAGGCCTAATAGAATATAGTTATAATATGCCATTTTAAGGATGAATTATATGGATATTGGTGAGGGAGGTAATTTAACCAGACACTGCTTCTTTCTATAGAATCGTAGTTCCTGTTCTCTGTGGTGTGTATGCTAAGTAGCAAGAAAAGTGTGCATCTTCACTGGCTATTGCAACAGCCAGAAGTGATTAAAATACATAGGAATGCAATTCTCCTGTTGCTCTTTAGGTGGCACTCTTGAACTGTTGCCTGAAGCTGTTGTGAGACTAAGTGCTGACTAATGAAGCTATTGGAGTGTCTGTTTTAAAGGTGAATGCTGAAACGGACAGGGTCTTTGAGCTGTTGAATCTCCATAAAGGAAATTTCTGTAACTTCATTTTATATTATGCTTGAATGTCATCTGATAATAAAAAAATGTATTTTATAAGAACAGAAATGCGGTCAAGTAAATTCCTTTATTTTGTGAATCACTCTTACTAGGGAGCGAGATAAGAGAAACAGTAGAGCAAAAATACTACTGAGACAGTACACTACAGTATCAGCAACGTAACCTAAGTTAGCAGTAGTGAGACTTATTCTATACATGCAGATCAGGATCTGTCAGCTGAACTCTACTATAAGATTTTTCTTTTTCTGCCTGAACAAAATAAGAGCACCTCCAATTAAACAGAATTATGAACAGAAGGCTGAATAGAAGTATGGTATGATGGCATCATTCCTGAGTGCTAGAAAAGCAGGTGAGGATGCAGGGGTAGACTCTGACTTTGTATTGTAGCCTGTTGATGTAGAGGAATGGTAGAAGGGAAAATAATTCTGCATAAATTGTAGCCAGGCTTACATTTTGGTAGTGAGTCATGTTAAGATACTAAGTTTGATGAAATCCTTTGTAGGAACACTACGTTTAGCACTGTATCCTCTATTTATTATATGAGAGATGAGGGGTTCCAAGAAGCTGCCAGAGCTAATCTCCTTTTCAGGAGGGAAAAAAAAAAGAGTAGGTTCTCGCTATCCTAAGGCTAAGCAAACGGGCAGATTCCATCCCCAAACTATGGTTTCAATAGCAGAACTTAATACCACTGTTTCTAGCCAACCAGAGATCTCTTGCATGTACAGACTGATTTCTTATCTCTGCTTATTTCATATATAAAATAATTTTTGAAACCCCAAGAAAAAATGTCATGTTTCCCAGTGTGGCAGGTGAACCCTTAGTAATTACTTTGTCATTTTTATTCTTCAGATAATCTGTACTATTTAATGTTAAACTGGTCAAAGGTATGCCTTCTGAGAATCATGTCTATTACTGACACACCCAGTAGCATGTCATATAGCTGAAGTGCAACATGACTGCACACCTAACTAGTACCAGTAAGTTTTAAATTCCAGTTACGTATTTCTCAAACAGCATAAGTAGCCTTTAAAAATATTATATCTTTGAAAACGTTTTCTTCCTTTCATTAAGACTATAACTTATATAGCCTTTGTTCAATGAAAACAAAGTAAATAAGAAGTCGTCTTGGTCTGTTTTGCACTTCAAAGCATTCTTATGATTGTGGTTATATTTCTTAATACAGGAAAGAGCTGAGTCATATTGAATTTTTTCTGAGTGTGGAATAATACCTAAGTTCTTTATTTTGGCAGTATCGTGACTGCTGCTAGGCTATTATCTTCAATATTCTGTGCTCTCAATGCCCAGAGTTAAAGGATTATGTTGATAAATTGGTGAAGGCTCGGAAAGAGCTAAGAAAATCATGACAGGTTGGAATATGTGTCTTGCAGTGTCAAAGACCTCAGTTTTGCTTCTCAACCTTTGGGAAATATGTAGAGAGTATGTATTTGGCCAAATGGGAATTGATCAAACATTTTCGTGTTTATTAGTTTGAACTAGAACTAGAGGAGTGGGAGGAGGAAGTTGGGGGAGCTTGCCTTACAGTGTGCATTGTTTGGAGGCTAAATTGTCAGACTGAATTTTCATTGGTCCCTTCTGGCTTGATAATACATGAATATCACTTAGCATTGCTAAATTTTTGTTCATTATGTGGAGATTTCCTTTGATGCTGTACAGCTGTAATGAGAATTGCAAGGTTCATACTAGAAGCTTTCCAAAACCTAATGGTGTGGCAAACTGGATAGGTTCTGTGCCTTTTAAAATGATGCAATTGTAGAAAGAATATTGAAAGAAGTACGACATGGATTTTAAAGATGCACAAGAGTGTTTTAGTTTTTGTGTGAGATAATAAAAGCTATATCAAAGATAAGTGTGTCCTTGAAAGTAATAAGCTATTTGTTTAGTAATGTTCCTGGCATTGCAGTTTGTTAAGATTATATGACAAAAGAGTCAGAAAACTCCACAGTGATTTTAAGATTTTCTCTTAACTTATCGCTTCACGTGCCTGATAGGAAACTTACAGATAAGCAAATTAACAGTTCAGCAACCCAGGCATTTCCGTTAAACTTGTCAGTTTATGGTTCTTTAATTTCAGAAAGATCAGTAAAAATATTCTGAGGTTAGAAGTGCTACTACTTTGCAGTTAGGGCTTAAACCTTGCAAATTTTTTCTGAGAATAAAAAGAAATTTCTTTTTCATTCTTGACCAGGGAGTGGAAATAGAGTTGACTTTTTGCAAGTTTTGCTGTATTGTTGGAGTTGATCAAAATATGAAACTTTACTAAGAAGTCTTAATTTTTCTAGTAAGTTGTGACTTCTCAGTAGGTACAGTTTTCCTTATCACAGAGAGGTGGTAGAGGGAAGGCATTATTTTTTTTTTTTCTTAATATTCTACCAGGACTTTTTGGTTAGGAATTCTTATCTATTATATTAAAAGATGTGTACATAGTACTGTCTATTCTGAGTGGGGTTTTTTTGATATTGAAACAAAGTTATTTTTGTTTCAGGCTTTCCTCTATCTTTTTCTCATCTCCATAAGAGAACAGAGAATACAAGGCATGTTACTTTATATGGGCACTGTGTTTAGCCTTTAAAAAAAAAAAAAAAATTAGTGAAGAGGAAAAAAATTTCCTTCTTGCTAATTGTGAACTCAAGGTGGTTTGTACTTGCATCTTTATTACTTCATGGCATCTTAATAAAATTGATGTAACTAGTAAATATTAGCCTCCTTTTATAGATGTGATGAATTTAACATTATAAAAATGGTTCTTCAAACAAACAAAAAACAACCCAAACCTAAGTGCATTGCACGATTTCTGAAGATAACTAATGTTAGTTTGAGGGAAAAAAAAATGTATTGGAAGCCTAATCCAAATACAAGTCTATGAAATCCTCCCCTTCTGCAAGCAGAACACTTTTGTTTGCTGGAATATTAAAATCTGATACATGTGTTTTTGTTTGTTTGTTTTGGGGTTTTTTGTGTTTTTAGTAAATGAGATTTGGTAATGCAAATGTTAAATTGTGACTACTTGTTTAAATTTTTTTGCGATGACTTAAATAGCAATCTAGCAATCTCCTTATGAGTACCCCTTTATATATTTTAATAGTAAGATGGACAAGTTAGGCCCACCACTGCGAACTGGAAGAGATGTGCAAAGGTTGTATGACACTGATACAAAAACAGACAGTACCGTCAAAAGACCAAATGATTTGTTGCCTATTAAGAAGTAAGTATTACGAATCAGTGTGGTTTATCTGTTTTTCAGAAGTGTTCCTCAAAAGCATTGGTATAGTAAAAATGTGATCTTGTCACGTATCTGCTGCCCAGTATGTCTTCGATTATAAAACGTTGTGGGAGAAGAGAATGTAATATAAATAATATGAGTAGCTGTTTCATTTTAAATAAACTGCTTCTAATAGTAGGGTAGGAAACGTGGTGGAAACCATTTTCAGAATTGACTTCTTCTGTCACTGATTGGGTTAACAATAAAGAACTCCTAGCTTTTTAAACCTGAGATAAAACTGAAGTTTCATGATACAAAACTGAAGTAAGCATTCAAGAGTACAGAAATGCCTTACAGGCAATTCAGTACATTATATGCCAATGGCTTGGGACAAAGGTCTTGTAAATAGCCACTAGCCATTGTTACATTCAGCTTTGCAACACAGGTGACCACAAATCATGGCAAAAGTTCCTGGACCTGAGTTGGCAAGAACATGTTTGTGATTTGGCACAGTGACAAGTAGAAAAGGGCAAGCTTCTTTACGAATTTTTTTCAGTTTTTGATTGGAGAAGTGGTATGTTAGTTGGACAAGAATACAAGTCAAGCTGCTTCGGAAGAGAGGTCCCCTTCAGTCTTAGTTCTTTTGAAATTGAAAAAGTCTGAATGATGAAGTCAAGACATGCCTTTGAAGATGTTTGAGAATTAAAGGTACAGCCTCATCTGCTATCAGGCTTTATTCATATTTCACATTATACAACTTAGAACGGGGGTTTATGTATCTTTACAGGAAAATAGGACTGGATGAGTAGATGGAAGCAGCAGAGGCTGGGCAGGCTGGAGTAGATCAAGCTGTGGTGATGGAAGTGGAGATAATCAAGGATGTCTGGGCTTATTGGAAGACATCTCTCTCCAGAGATCGTTACAACTTGAGGATGCAATTTCACGATTTCTGTCATCAAATAGACGTGAAACATGATGCTAATCTTGAGTCTAGATCTGGGGTACATAAAGTTGTAGTGGCAGGCTGCTGCTTCTGTTGATTTGTTCATTGAAATGGCAGAAATAATTACAGTTAACTCTAAAACAGTAGCAGTAAGCTTTCATACCAGTCTGATAGTAGATGAGGGGTGTTTTTTCTGGATTTTCAAAAGCTAATTGAAAAATACCCACAGAAATTATGCACAAAACTACTTCAAAATTAAAGTATCCTTTTAAACTTTTAATGGATTATTTAACTGCTCACAGCTCTCCACTTCACTCAGACAGGGTGGACAGTGCACTTTCAATATGACTTTTCAATATTTTGTTTTTTCCAGGTTCAGTTTGTGGCCCATATGCCTCACCATTCAAACCATGTTCTGAAGACACTTTTTTTTTTTTTTTTGGGGGGGGGGGAGGCAGGGGTGCTGGGGGAATTTCTTTAGTATGCCTCTAATGCTAAAGCATCAAGTGACTTTTCAGAGTAGCCAGTGGAATGAGGGTATGTTATTACACATCTCACAAACAGTCAAAGTACAGAAAAGAATAGTGGACAGTTTTTAATGTTAATTTTTTTCAAATATCTGGTACTTTTTTTAAATGATACAGAACATTACATTCGAAATCTGCTAATTCAGTGTATGTGCTCTACAGATTTCACTTTAAGAAATTTAAAGAAGATACAAGTCAGTCTAAAGTTGAGAATCCAGAAAAAAGTGATTCATTAATGCACTTGAACAGTTTGGTTTAAATTGTTTGGAGTTGTCTAAATAGAAGTTAGGGCACGCTTGTTTGCATCACTGTTCAACAGTGTCTGATGCATGAGAACCACCGTTTCTATATCTACAGTTGTCTTAGCCTTTATGCGCTCTTCTAGCTTTCATAACAAGAAGCAGTCCAGTTACTTCTTCTAGGAGAACGGAAGGAGAGAGCTGGTGTCCTGACACATGTTCCAGAACCTTTAAGCCCTGGAGATATATCCAATCTACCTTTTGTAGGCAGGTGCCATTCCTGTTAAGCCTGAGTGCTGGAATTGTGCGTAATTTCACCTGATCTGATCTTAAATTTGGTTCCTGATTGCACTGTTTTGTGCTTAATCTTTAGATGACTTTTCCATTGAAGTGTTTTAAGTAACTGTTTCTAAATGGATGGCATAGAAAAGCCCTCTTTAGCCTTTGCTGGTAAAATGGAGAAAGATGTGCTTTATTTAACAGGTTGTGTAAAACTCAAAAGTTACTACATTATTCCTCTGTTTCAGTGTTGCATTTGAAGTTATTGAAGCTGAATGCATTTCCTTACATAGTTTTGAAAACCAAGACAACATTGTTCGTAATTGTGAAAAGAGCAGTTTGTTCATCTAGGTTTTTGTGTTCTTGTTTGGGCTCTTGGTGAATAAAACTTTTTAAACAGAATATTGATTTACCTTTTTTTATGTCTATGAGTCAATCTCACACTTAAGTTTCGTGTATACGTTAGTGTTTAAGAATGGGAACAGTAAAAAGATAGTGACGTGTCACACACATGATACTGAAGTCACTGAATTCTAGCAAAAGAAGAAATCTTGGTGTATGGTAGTTCTCTTGCACAGTGCAGAAAAGCTTTGTCTTTGGTCGCTGATAATAAAAGGATGTCCCTTCCCACTTCTCTTCCTGGTGCGGCTCAGGTTTTCACGGGATTCTGATGTTTCTGTACTCATCAGAGCAACCAGTGAGACTTCATGGGTGTTTAGGATGTGCTGTGGATTGCATACAACTTCTCATAAAGCCCATGATTCTTGACAGAATAGCTTTCACAACTCTGTGATCGTTGAATCCTTTATACTATTGAAACCATCTGTAAGAACATTGTGGCAGGCCCTTAATATTTATGCTTAGGAGAAAAAGGGGCTACCAAGCATCATCTGAGATGTATCCATGCTAAATAAAGTGTGTAGCTAAGAAGAAAATCATGTGACTCACTTCATAGTGGTCGCAGAATGTTGTGAACGTGGTATCCTTTCTAAATTATTTTTGCACTATCGAGGTCTGCAGGCAGCTGCTTTTTTTATTACTCTGTAAGCCCTGCCAGTGCTATAAAGTGACTTGTAGTCTATGAAGGAAGACATGCAAACATACTGAACAATAGTGTGGGGTCTACCTGTATCCTGGTGTGATAACAAATGAAATGCATGAACGGGAAGGGAAATGCTAAGCCTTTTAGCTTGTGTCGTTGTAAGATTTAAGTACTCATATTCAGTCCAAATTATATTAGTTCATGCCAAAACTCTTCTCTCTGTTATTGACAGGAAATAAGGCATAACGTTTGTATTGTGAATTGATGTGTAGATTATTGGAACTCATTTCTTTTAAATAATGTGTAAGTATATATTCTCCTCTCTGTATATTTAATTCACCAAATACCTATTCTGTTTTAGAGGCACAACGAAAACACGGACATCAACCCCGCCTAGTGTGGCAAGAGCCATGAGCACTGGTGCTTTAACAAACAAAAGAAAAACTAGTAATTCAGAAAGTTACTCAAGGTAACTTTTAATTTTTTTTTTTTATGAGCAATAAAAGCTTCATTTGAGGAGAGTAGTCTTACAGGAAAAGTTGGAGGAAAATATTGTTCTCTGCAGTTAATGGGTAACTTACAGTTCGTATTATTTGGCATATTTAAGATACTCAATGTATTTTGCATGTTTACTGTCCTAACATAAGATCACTGTCATCAGCCATCCCAGATATAATATGCACAGACAGCATTAGAAATGCCAAATGTTTCTTAGAAGTTCTTGGAAAAAATGGATGAATAGGTCTTTCAAATAGGAAGTGATTGGGATTTTTTTGGAGGGGGATTGGTTTATATTGGTTTGTTTTGTTGTTTAGGACAGTGATGAGAGAGAATGCTGAGTAGGTATAGTTCTGCAGTTATGGATCTTAAAGGAGTTACCCACGGGCCTAGCATTTTGGCTTTGCAAACATTGCTAGTCAAGTAAAAATTTGCATGCTCGGCACTGAAAATTGTCTGATGTCTGCCCTTTTAAAGGGTAGGGAAAAAAAAAATGAAATGCTGTGTAAGTAGCTTTATTATGCTGAGAAGCTAAGTTGTAAGTTTTGAAACTCTAATTAACCTAACTAGTGCCTCAAATATTTGATCCTGCTCCTGAAATTTTAGTGTTCTATTTGTTTTCTTACAGGGAAGGGGCGTATCTGGAGATAGGTAGGAGAATCAGGGAAGTCAGAATGTATACTACTGTAAATAAATAGGAAGTACAAGCATGAAACTGTAGAAAACAGTAATTATAATTAACTGCAAAGACTAATATAATTTTGCATAAAGTTATACTGAACTGAGTTACAGTTAATACTCTTTATCTGGTGATTTTCAGGTCTGATGGTAAAATTGGGTATGATAGTGGAGACTACCCATCCTCAGTCAATGGAGGAAGTTCAAAGAGCAGCGAAGGAAATTCACCTGTACACTTATCAAAATTCTGTCATGAATGTGGAACAAGGTATCCGGTGGAATGGGCAAAGTTTTGCTGTGAGTGTGGAATTCGAAGAATGGTTATGTGAACACATTCTGAAAAGCAAAAAGAAAGTGAGAACCCAAGAGTCTACTACATACCGCTGCATGGAAAGCTAGCGCACTCCTTCCAGTTACAGTTTGTGCTGCAAACATATTGAAACATCATACTGTAATTTTCTGAGTGCAATCTTCTGGTTACATGGTAATTTATATATAAATATATGTACTGTATATAAAAACAAGAGGTACCTAAAACTGTGCCATTCAAGGAAATACTCTTTAATCTCTGTTGGAAATATTTTAAATTAAGGTAGAAATATACTAGTTAACTTAGGTAGCAGAAATGGTTCAATTGTTTTTCTTATGTAATCCTACTAGATAAAACTATTTATAGCACCTATGTGGTGTCTCACCCATAGGAAACTAGCTATGAAGAAGTTGGTCATCGGAAGTGTTCCGGAGGAGGAATTTCCTTCATATGTAATGTTAACTTATGAAATAAGTGGCTAAATCCTAAGTAAAAACAACACGAGCAACACATTATAAATTCCTAATTAAAAGTGCCAAAAAGATTACATCTATCTAACTACTTTAACAGTAGCATCCTAATTGGACTTTCTAAATTTTCTCTGGGTTTTCTTAATGAATCAAATAAAGAGAGATTTTTTTTTAATGTAGCTTTCCACATTCTGTTTTTGAATAGGAACCAGTTAATATTTTTATGTATTTATAAGGACAAATATGGCGTTCTCATTTTAATAAGCCCCTTTTGTTCAGAAACACTTGTCTTCCTCCTCCTGCTTTGGATTGGTATATCCAGAATCTTGCTTTGTATCTTGAAAGGTTTTAAAGGTCCTGCTCTCTTTCTCTTCCCTCATTTCCTGAAGGAAAGAAAAAAATCTATACTTATCCTGTCTGTAATGTTCAACTCTTGTTTTTAAAACAGCCTTCCTGATTTATCCAGTACAAAGATTTCCATAAAAACATATGTTATTAGTACAGTAGAATTTGATATGAGTAGTCACTGTTTTTTATTTCTCCGCAAATAGCGCAGCTTATAATATGAGTTCATAATGGAGTCACTGTGCTCCATGGGTTTATATGTCAATACCTAACATGTTTTCTTGCAATCCTGTATAGTCTTGGGCTCCCGACTAGCAGCCGCTTGAATTCGGTAACAAACCTATCATTAGTTCATTGGGAAGAAGGATCAGGGCCTGTAAATTCTTGTTATTGTATTGATATGTTATGTCATTTATAAAACATTCATAAACTGAATCACTTAACTTGTATCTGAAGGTAGTAATTTATTTTTTGTGAATTTTTATTTCGAAGTAATAACACCATCTTAGTTGTGCGGAAGAATAATCTGAAAGAAGTTAATTGTGCCTTTTCCACAATAAATATACTTTTTGTCAGAAATGGTTACTTTCAGCTCACAAACACCACTAATATCAATTTATATAATTTTTTTATGAAACTGATACTTTGTAGCTTTTGCAATATGTACTGCAGTGTTGCATCATAGTAATGCGATTGTAGATAATCACAAATTCGGAAAATACAAGCAATGGGACAGAAAGCATGACTGAAGAAAAGCATCTCCAAAGCAGATGCCAGTCTTAGAGAATATGTTTCAACAGACTTGATGCTGTCACACTACAGGCCATAAACTATTGATGTTTTGGAATTAATTCAATGATTTGGAATTGTCTTGCACTTTTTATTGGAAGTTATTTCTGGAAAGTAATTGTCCTTCCATTCATTGTAGTCTTATTTTATCATAATTGTATAAACTGGCTACTGAGTGTGGCAAGATGGATAACTTGATGATAGATAGACCTGACAAATCATAGCCAACTTAGGTTCTAGGACCCATATTTTGGCATGTTCATATCTATACTTCCAAAATTGAAATTCTGCATCCTTTGCATAGATAAACCTGCTCTAGAAAATATGCTCTGGACCTGGGTCATGGAGGTCTGCAGAATGAAAATCATTGGAAGTTATGGGTGCCCATCACAAAAGGTACAAGTCCAGAAAAGGTTTGATCAATTAGTGAATCTATCAAGGAATCAATTCCTTTATCTGACCTAATGACCTTCCAGTTCTTGTTTCTGCTGGAAAAGTAGTGTTTACCATTTATAAAGAATGTGTGCTTCAAAGGGAGAGCTTAATAAGGAAATAAATATATTCCAGGTCTACAAGGTGTGTGTTTTTTTTTTTTTTTTTGAATGAGGTGAATGGATTTGTTGGAAATACAGAAAGGGAAAAATATTCATAGTTTCTCCTTTGAATTGCAGATGACAGGTTTCCTAGTTTTATGGTTGTTACACATGAATTGATTGAACTTCTGCTTTTTGAGTTGTTTGCATGACTCTATGCTTCCCAGGCAGCATTTAGTAAATCACTTGAGTGACATATGGTTTACTTTGTTTACCTTTCTTCTATGATTTGTAGCAAAAATTAAACAATGGATGAACCTGAAATGAAAGAAGAGTTTTAAAAATATTTCTCGAACTTTTAAATTTAGCTTTACAAGGTCATCTATTGAAACAAAAATGACTGACAGAGTAATATTTAATATTGTGCATGTGTTTGAATCTACAATAAAGATAAGCAGACAATTAAATATAATTGACAATGCAGTTTATTACTGTATAGTGAGACTATCAGAGGCATAGTATATTTCCACTTTATCAACTGTTTTGTCACTAAAGTGACAAAAGGTTTCTAAACTACTTCATGTTATTGACATAGACTGTATTATACACGTTATCAGCTCGTACTGCTGTATTTCCATTGAAATGTTTATTAGCAAACAGTAGGGGGGGTTGTTTTTTTTTTTTTTCCAGAATGCTCTTGCAGAACTGCATATGAATAACAAACTTGTTTTAATATTTAAGGAAAAAATACGTCGGTAAGGAGGTTGAGTAGGGATTCTGAATTTTGAGTCTTTAGCTACATTGTACATGTCAGAAAATTCCAGAATGTAATTTATTAACAAGACCTTGGTACATCTATGCCCTCCTGTCCTACCCCTTCCTCCTGCCTTTATGCTTTGGTTTTCATGGGAGGAAAAAACCTGGATATATGTGCTGAAAAATGTTAGTGTTCCAAAATGTCCCAAGGAACCAAATTTTGATAACTGTGAAGATAAAAACCCCTGGATGGTACATATGCACCAGGATTCATCCAGGAGTTTTATCTTCACAGAGTCAATAACAGACAGGACCAGATGCTGCCGGAGGATTATGTAGCCCCAAACAGCTGACTAATATAGTCAATAAATACTTAAAATGTAATTTGTTGATGTGATTATTCAAATGTTATCTGTTTCAACGTCTGACCCTATGACAGACTTTCTTTTACTGTCTGCCATTATATTTTCCTAATAATGGTGGAATCCTGTAAGAACAAGGAAGAGAAGGCTATTGCTGGGGTCCTGCATGAGGGTTTTTGTGTTCCTGGTTTGCTCTTGGGAATATCTTGCATATAAGGAGCATCTCTATGCACTAGAGAAGTGCAGCAGCAGCACTGGAACTGTACTGATGAAGTGCAATGTGATATTGAAATATACCAGCTTCAATCTTAAGAGCAACATAGCATAAAGCTGAATCTTTACATGACTTTTCTCTTGCACAGAATACTACTTACGCATGATACTCATTCCAGTTTCTGAAACTACCTGATGTATCTACAACACACAGCAAGAGTAGTTTTACCCTTAGTCTTACACACCACCAGGAAAGTGAGGATGGGGAGGTGCTTTACCACTGTTTCAGCTTGTAACTATCAAGGAAGTGTCTAGGAAGAACTTCTCAAATTTGCTAAAGGGACTTGGAGAGCCATTAAACTTCCCCAGGTGGATTGGAAAAGCTCAACCTGGCTGAGCTCTTGCCCATGAAAGAGATGTGCTGGTGGTGGGAGCTCTCCATGGTGCTTCGATAGAGAGCTTGCCCTTGCAGCACGGTGGCAACAGCTGCATGAGGTCTTCTGCACAAGTCGCACATATCAAGGAGCAGAGTAGCAACTTCAAAGCGTGTCTTAAAACCTGAGCCAGTATTTGAACATCGTGGAAGTCCGCAGTCACTTGAGTGAAACTTGTTCCTAATTCACCCCATTGCAACCAGGAGCAAGTGCCTGAAAGGCAATGTATGAAGAGAACTATTTCATGATGCGCGTGTATCAAATCACTGGAAGGAGGTATGACTGCAGTAGTTTAAATGCTAATGAGCAAGGCATGTAGCAGCACACATTGATGTAGGCTATGTAATTAGTCTGTTAACTGTAAAATGAAATGGCATTGTCCACATACTATAAAGCTCTCAAGAAGTGTTAGTTATCCGTCACGTTGATTCTGTATCTATACGATAAGAACAAATTGTTAAAAGTTTTATTAAAACTTGGCTGACAAAATTGTGTTTTTAAGAGCACTTTTTGCAACTATTTAACCTTTTCAGTTTTTCTAAACTAGAATAATTATGTGAGTTGTGTGAGAGGGTGGAATTTTCATTTGGTGACATTGTTTTAATCTTGAAACTAAAATAGTTTTCTTTCTTTTTTTTTTTTTTTTTTTTTTACCTTTAAAGAAATATAGCTTATTCCAATTTGTGATAGTTTTGTTTGGTTTTTTTTGAACCTGCTGAGTAAGGTGTGAGTATGAAGTCACCTATATCTGTTGTTGCAAGTATTGTTAGGTAGAAATTTCTTAGCTATGCTCAGCAGTTCTTTCTATTACATGAAATTTAAGGGATTACTCTTTCTTATTAATGTCTTTTTACATATGTTTTTTTCAAAATAATGCTTTTCTGGAGGATTCCACTTAGCTCCATTTCATGTTGCCAGAAAACAGCCTATTTAGATTTTAATTTAAATACTAATGTTTCTTCTTTATAAAAGTAATTAATGAACATCAGTTTGCTCCAGTGCAGACAGTAATTTTTGAGTCTACAAAACAAATATTCAGTTTGATACAACTGCATTATTAAGTTTAAAAAAAATGCTTGGTTTATCGTTATTTTATATTTGTATTTGTATTTCTGGCAAAAGTGTGGAGGAATTTGGGCTTGATTCTGTAAAGTGCTAAATATTCCACAACTCCTATTACTGCTCCTTAAATTACTGCTCAACTCTCTCACTGCTCATCCTCCATTTGATACTTAGTATGCATTTTCATAAGCAAAAACCATGATTTATTTATTGATGTTCCATGTTTTTATATGAATTGTTCATTTATGTATTTGAGGTGATTAAATCTGTCAGCACTATTTGTTGTTTGCTTTGCACTTCAGCCCGCTGAATATTTGTGTTTGTGACCATCCAGTATTTTTTTGGCAGAATGGCTGGGTTTGCTTGCATCTTATTGGATACTTATAGGTTTGTTTTAAAGTATCAGTTGTGTTTTAATTCATAAATGTAAATCATTACCTAATGCTAATTTGCCACTTATTAACAATAAAGAGAATATTACTATACAGCATTTTGCAGTGCACGCATCTTTGTAGCCAAACATGAATTTGTCTTAAGTTAAATACCCTAGGGACATGTAATACCATTCAACCTTAAAAATAACATGAAGTCCTTAATCTGAAGGAAACCAGACCTAACACAAGGACTATCCAGTGTTTTCCCCTAGTGGCTGGGAGACAACTGTTTAGTTACATTTTCAAAGGATAATTTTTGTTTGTTTGTTTGTTTCATAAATTTGAAAATGAGAATTAGATTTCTCAGTCACTTAGAAAAATGCTCTGTAACAAATTTTAAATTAGTATGATCTGCTCATATAAAGTTAACCTCTGTATTCTTCTTCCTGACTGTATGCGGAGTTTAGGTTATATCAAGCTTATCATTGTGATACCTGCAGTTAAATCATTTTTTAATAAGGCTGCTAAGATAGAATAGGTAACCTGAACTCGATTTGGATTTGTTCTGCTTCATGAGGTTAGAGCACTGTTTTGTTGGTGAAATGATTAACCACTAATGTGTTTGTGTCAGGAGAAAAGCAGAAGTTACATCTTTTTTCCTGTAAAATTCACTTACATGAGAGAAATCGTAATAAGGGGTTGGGTTGCTTTTTTTTTTTTGTTCTCCCTCCCCTTTTCCCTCCCCTTCTCCCCTGAGTTGAGATCAGTTCCTCTTTTCTTTCCTCTTTTTAGGAGAAAGTTCCTCATCACGGCTCTTTTGTTTACGCCACCACACCCTTTTCAGAGAAAAGAATATATGCATTTTCCCTTCATTCTGGATGAAATTCATCTGCCTGCAAAGGGGCTGCAAAATCTTGTCACCGCTGAAATACATCCCCCATGCTGGACTATTGCCATGCTGGCTTCCGCTTTATTCAAGTTCATCATGAACCAATCCCGTAGCTGTTGAATGAACCTTCTTGCTAGCTGCAGCCCAACTTTCCAAGCAAACATCTCTTTTGCTCCGCACAAAGCTGAAGATGTGGAACTGGAAAGAAATGTAAAACCAGCTAGGAGACATTATTTCTGCATCTTTTTATCTAAAGAACTGCAGCGGCAAAAAAACTTGCTTAGTGGCATAAAGTGAGACTAGGACCTTCTCTTCCACTTGACCTGCGTTGATCTAACTTCCTAAACACCAGAAATTTCCTTCTCGTTATAAACAGCAGAACACCAAACTCCCTCTTGCTGTTGGAAATTATTCAAAGTGCAACATTAACTTGCTTGCAGGGGTTAATCATCGCTTCTTGCTTAATTCTCACTGTCCCTTGCAACAACAGTGCTAAAATTCCTCTTACTAAATTAAATACCCTTCTTGTCTTCCCTTGCCACCTTCCTGTAAGTTTCATACATTTCTAAACCCTGGTTTTAACCTACTCATACTCCTTCTTTGTGCTATCCTAATGAAAAAATAAAAGTGCTCAACCCTAGAGATGCTGCTTTTTTTACCCCTTAACCTAGATTTTGTGAAAGGGAAGTAGGAGAGGTACCCTGCAAGGTTCTCATTCCTTAGCCCATTTCCCACAAAGTTTATTTTTTCCATGTTCGTAATTTCAGGAAGGCTGTAGAAGGTTCTCAAATGGAAGGGAAAAAATGGAAGAGCACAAGTCATTGTGTTTAGCAGTTAGCCTTTGCACCTGATTAGCTACTCAGGAATCTTGGCAGTAAGAATCAGGCAGGCAGGATATATGTTATGAGAAGTGATAAGAAAACACACAATTTAATAATCTCTCAAATTAAATTTCAGCTCTGGATATAAGCTTGTTTTTTTCCCAGGATAGGCCAGAAACTGCCTGATTTGAGTTGTGAGCTGCTGCGTAAGCCATCTCAATTGACTTAACTTTGTGATTTCACGTTTGTAGTAGTTAATATTGCACCTTGGTGTTTTTCTGTCAAACCCTGCTGATCTTTCCTTGCTGAGTAATAGTGGTCCTTAGGAATAGATCTTGCCTTTCAAGTGTTCCTGAATTTCCAAAAATATAGCAGCTGTTCTTCAGTGTCAGAGACAAATTTAGTCTGCAGAAATGTGAGACTTCTTTCAGTAGAACTAATTTCTAGAGAAGCCAGTACAATAGTGATTACAGTCTCTTAGCTGCAGTATGATATGGGGAAATCTGTTTCCTTTTCCTTCCCGTCCTCCCTTTGTCACTGTTTAGAGTTAAAGTTGGAATGACCTCTTATATCAGGAGATAAAGAGAAAATGTGACGGTCTCAATCAGTTTTACAAATACGCTACTCCTAGCCCAAGAGGTCTTCTCACCATAAATAGATGGTGAGGGGGAGGGTATTCCAGGAAAGCATCACAGTGTGTTTGTCTTCCTTTTGACCTTCTTCCTCAGCATCAGCAGGAGGGCACACTGGGTTAAATGGATTTAGTATAGCAGATGTTATTCCAGTCAGAGGAGATCCATGCAGTTCGTTGAAGCACATCCCATCATTACTATCAGGTTTTTATTCTGAATATCAACATTTTCTGACAGCAGTTTCACAGAAAATTTCTTTTAGCACAGATAAAACAGTACGTTTCCCTAACTCTGAACCATGAAACAACAGCTGCCTTAGTTGAAGATTTCCAAAAAACATTTAGCCCAAAGAAGACACCTGATATGGAAACGTCAGCCTAAATTGTTTGTCCAAGTTGAAAGCAATCATGAAATGGATCTTTTATAATTGGAAGTGCCAAGCAGCTGGAGGCTATATTACCAGCTCTGCTTTTAATAATGAGCTGTGCAAAAAGCTGAAAAGGGAGTAATGATGCCTAAAAATACAACAGTCAAATTCCATAGGAAGACAAATATTTTATTACCAAAGGAGTTATATCAAAGTAAGAAACTGCAAAAGAGTTATAAACAATTATAAAAATACCTCTATTTATCCAAAATTAAATATGAACATTTTATTAGTTAAATGCCAATATATTATTCTCTGAAAATATTCACAAATTTTAAGTCATGTTTGTCTAACATATTAAACACGTTGTATAAAATAATTGTGTACAAGAAACCACAATCTGAAGGTAAGCAATTCTAGCTACTCCTTCAGCTAACTAGAGGATACCGAAAGGCACAAAGCTGTTTTTCTTTCCCTCCTTCTATAGGCCTCACCGTCTTGCCTCTACTTCAGTGAGTAAGTGTGCTACATCTCTCAAAAGCCAGTATTCCTTCCTAAGTTTTTTTAAAAGTTAACCTTTTCCCTATTTTTCCAAACCCAAATCAGTTTGCAAACCCATTAAATGAAACCTCACCTGTGCTTAAAACATTATTGCATCAGCAGAACAGGCTCAAGAGCTGCTGCTTATTTCGTAAATTGTTCATTTTGGTCCTTGAAATGTTCTACATAGGTATAAAGAAACTAGCTACTTTTTCATACTGTTTTCCTGGTCTGCAGTTTCTAAGATATTTTTTTTAATTGCGGTAGACACCTAAGTATGCTTTCATATTAATGTACTATAAAGTTACTCAAAAGATAAGAAAATTCAAAATAGTTTCCAGAGCATGAAGTGGAACACAGCCTTCTATATAGTTCTTTCCTTCAAACAGTGGTCTTTATTTCCACTTCTTGGACTTCAGCAGCTTCTTTTAGCCGTTTGTATTTATTCTACCTCCAGGAACAAGGTACAGTAGCTTTCCATCAGAATTCTGGCATAAAGTGTTTATGTAAGCGAACAGAGTTACTCAAAGAATGCATATAAAATGCAAAGATACCAAGTAATGCCACTTTGAAAGAAAAAAGCAGGATTCACCTGGAAATTATTTTTTCAAATTTATTCCAGCAGGATCGCAGGCTAGATACATTTTCTTTCAGTTCACAAAAATCTTGGTTACATTTCTTTTTTGAGTGTTCACTTGTTTCTGTGTCTTCTTTATTATGTGTATTTACCTCTGTGCAAATCTGAAAAAGAGTAGTTTATATTATTAATTGAAAAGTGTCTATTCTTTTTATACACACATATTGTGAAACAAACTACCTTGCATCTCAATAAATAATGCAGGTATCTTACTTGATAATTTAGCCAGAATGCTGGGCTACTCACAATATCTGCAGCAACAATATGTAACCTGCATCAGTTCTCACATCAGCATTGCTGATGTCCCTTCACACTAAACTGGGAGAATGCAGCTTCAACTCACAGGAAATAAGGACTTCTGCAACCAGTGTGCGCAACTGAGAATGTGTACGTCCTGTATCAGTGGTTTAAAAATTATCCTCAATTATCTGAAGAACTGGAAAAATAAAGCCAATTAGATTGTACGGTGATCTTTAAACAATGTATGGTTATATGTATGGTACCTTGAGATTTATGGAACAAAATAGCACCATGTCTAGAAGATGAGACTGTGGCCGAGCATTCAGGACTCTCCCAGAGACCAGGAGACCGTGGTTCTTCTCCCTGTTCCGACTGCTGTTTATGATTTTTACTGAATGACTTTAATGTAATTGGTCCTTAAGTAAATCCAGGCACCCACAGGGATAGGCAGGAGTTTCAAGGGTGACACTCTTTGACTTTCATGACTTAAATGGAATGCCTTTTATACTTAGGCAAAAGTTAAATTCCACTACAGGTGCCTAAGGAAAATATAAAACCAACATTACTTTGAGGATCTGGTCCTAGGCCATCCAAGTCATTTTAAGGAGAAAAAGAATAAATTAAATGAAACCTTCAATCAAACAATGTAAAGCCAGCCATGAAGAATTACATCCTTTGGTGCCTGTAGGAGGCTTTTCAATGGTGGTCAATATTTTTGAGTTCAATACATAATTGTGAACTACAAAGTATTTAAAGAATACTTTCCGTTGCTATAGTGGTCTGTAGATCACTGCACTAGAGCTGCATGACATACCAAAGAAATGACTCTGCCAGTGACTGAAAATTCAAATATTTTCATATCTAAGTATTGTTGCTGAGTTTGAGAAATTCTAATTAAAATAAAGATCAAGGATCAGTCAAAGGGATTATAGCAAGAGTAGAAACTTCCACTAATTATTTTTTGAAACAAACCAACTTAAGTATATAGAGCATTTTAAATATTAATTTAAGGTAGAACCCCAACGTAGAGTAACAACTATGACTTTATACAGTACAGAAGTTAGTTATCTGCATAAGTGTGGTCTTTTTTACTGGAGAATTAACTGAGGTGTTTCAGCTCTGAACCAGAGCACACCTCTTGACTACAGACTTCTAGATCATTGGCTTAATTAGTCTTTGCACTGGGCTTAGTATCTATTGCAAGAGATAACGCTAGAGAGCAAAATTTGTCATGCATATAACCTGTGCAAGACAGATGTACCTTAGGCAGATATGATACTCCATCTATGCTGAAGAGCTCTAAGGAATAAGCCATGTACTTCCAATAATCCTAGATCGTCCTTATCACTTACCTTTTCTTTTTTATTTCTTTCACATTTGCACTGTAGAATCTGTAATGTCCTACATGAGACTACTGTGGCTTTCCATCTAAACTCTTTGCTGATTTTTTGCTTATTAAAGAATTTAAGCATGTTGCACGCCATACTCTGTAGTGATTCTATTTCCTGCAACGAAAAATATGTCCTGAAAAGTCTGTGCATCATTAATTCTATGTACTGTTGGTTTATTTTATAATGAAAGCTCTATCAGTGACCATTAGGGTTTTTTTTCTGTCATTTTGCCAGTCTTTTCCAATAAATTATCTTATCAATCTGACCTACTTGCCATCTCTTTAAAATATTCAAAGTACCAGTTTGTAGTAGTAATAATAGTATCCTATTTCTGCCCAGGATACTGGGCAGAAATCATACCCTTTACGAAATCAGCTGATACAGTTAGGAAAACACTGAATCATTTTTGGAGTCAGTCCTTTTGTTAAGTTATGATTAAATCTGGAGCTACAGCTGACAATTGTGCCTTCTGTCACTTAAGATCTACCTCAAACTATTACTTTTGAAGTTTTGAAACCTGAAGTGAAAAGCTTAGCCAATATGAATTTCTGTAGAAAAATGAAAACTTATGCTGGGAAAACTTTGTATTTATTTTCATTGGCAAAATGAACAAGATAAGTTTCCTGTACTTTTTGGATTAAAATATTAAAGAATCTTTACAGTAGAAAAAAGATTTCTTGGATATGGAATTAATTACTATTTCAAATAAATTAATATTTCAGTTGAAAAAAATCATAATTTACTGAACAGAATGTGTGATTCCACATGCAGAAAAGAGTAAAAAGTACCATCCTGAACAACATAATTTGACTATTACAATGCAACACTAATCACTATCATAATCTGTTATTAAGGGATTAGACTGTGCAACACCCCCACCCCACACACACATACACACATTTGGGCTCATATTCTCTAACTTAAATTCTGGGAAATTAAATTTTACCTGAGTATCATTGCAGAAGAACACTTTGGCATTTTCATGTTTTTTATTCTTGCAGCACCTATCACGATACTCTGCAGACACATTTACCTGTAATAGATAAAATATATTTAATCAAGTACTTTTAATCAAGTGAGCCTGATTTTTCACTAACAACTGGTGACCTGAACAGTAAATTGTTCTTTAGGATCTCCTCAGCTGTAGCAAGGTCAGTATATGATTCTGAGCTTTTCCTTGGCAAGCAGGCAAAGAAAAGGCCAATCCAGCTACAATTTGTAAAGGTATTTATTTTAAACCTTCACATTCAATTGAATTACTTGGTCTTTAACCATTTAAAAGAAGTACAGTAATGCTTAAACCTTATGTGGACTGTTTGTTCTCCTCAATAAATACATGCCCCAGGCATCTCAAGAGATTTTAGCATTCACTTTGCACATGCATTAGCAGATGTATCTCTAGATATTCTAGGCCACAGTACTTGTTCCCTTTGCTTGACCATAATCTTTTATCAGTGGCTTATTCTCTGCTTTTCCTTCTTATTTTCATGTTTGTCATCCAGATGACAACTGAACCCAACTCAATAAAAATCCTTCCCCTTCTTCTTCAGCCTACATCCACATAAGCTATTCCTATCAGAAGGGCTAAAGAAACCCCAGAGAACTCATGTCAGTATTATATTAGCTTTCCTCACATAAGCATGTATATGAACACATTAGTTCATATCATTCTTAGGGTTTTTCTTCATGTTTTTGTTTAACTTTGCCTATATTTTAGAAGCTCACCCAAGCTGGATAGAAACTTTAAAAACAGAAATTGTTTTCAGAATCAATAAGAGTATAGGGAGTCAAATGTCCAACAACACACACAAAAAAGGAAGATAATACACATCTATGCGGGTATCACAAAAGATTGAAATTTTAGCTGCAGCAAGATTAAAAAAGTATCCTAAAACTTAGTTTAGGTATCTGTGGCTTCACTTGCTAACCACTAAGCAGTTTACCCATTCTCACGCTCTTCTCAGATCATCTTTAGTATAACATACAGTAACCACTTCTGAAGGCAGTTTATTGGCTGGGACTATACATCTTCATTACTGTCTCCAAACACCAGGTTGATTATCAAGGACTAAGAGTTAACGACTATGGCTATGCGACTGCAGGAAAGTTTATCGTGGACAGGTGCTATCACCCAAACAGCACCATCAGTAATATTTGTTGGCAAACTAGTGACAAGACTATGCGTTGACTCTACATAGAGGATAAATTAATTTCTCTTAGGCTGGACAAAATACAGATAGGAAAACTAAGAGAACTGCACAGTAGCTGCTTGTGTATGCCTACTTTAGGAAATAAAAACTTCAGTATAATATATTACTATTACCTTTCACAAACATTAATTCTCAAGCTTTTTTTTTTAATTAAAGAGCTAATAGTTTTAATTCTCATATAGTCTCCTAAAGAACTCTATCAGAAATAACATTTATTACAACCAAAAGATATAGACTTTTAAACTGAATCTGGAAGAAGTGGAGACTGCATTACTCCATCAAAATCCCTGAGCGCGCCCTGGGCATGGAGTGTAGCATGCTACACTGTTGCCTCAGGAGGCACCGTCATCTCCAGCAGTGATATATCTATATCTATCTATATCTATATCTATATCTATATCTTTACCTACATACACACACATATGTGAGATATATACGGGAACCATCCCCAGGCTTCCCTGACCTTCTGGCTCCAGAAGGTCTATGATTTGCCTCATGGCTCTTTGCCAGAGGAAGACTGTAGGACGTAGTTCCCAGAGGCAAGTTTGGTTAATCCTGTCATATTCCTTTGCCTTACAGGTCGACTATTCACTAACTACCCACACGGAGGGTTTATTTTTTTATCCAGGAAACACCTGTCTTTGTTAGAAATAAGATGATAAACTAAAGGGATCACTTATGTGTTTTAATGTGGCCATGATTATTTTCCCTGCTTTTGTGTCGTATTCAGGATAATGTCATTTTTCCCCCTAGGTAAGCAGCCTTTCTTTCTTCATAATCTCAACAAACAAGACGTGAATAGAACGTTTTTGAAGATTAAATGACCACTTCCTGACCCTAAAGATATTTATTTCCACAAGAGGGCTGATGTATATATTGGCAGAGACAGGCTGGAAACCACCGGCATAAAGCTCTGAAGGATAGTGGTGGATCATAAGCGTGAAGAAATACAAAAGCTCAGTCACTCCTAGTGACTTCATTTTTGGAAAAGCATCGTATGTCACTTGTATTTCATGTAAGCAGATCTTGATTTAGGACTGCAACAGAATGGTTAATTCTAGTTTACTGATACACTGTCAGAAAAATCTCATTTTCATACAAATGCTTCTGGTAATCCAACCTCGTAACATATTATTCTCCCATGAAAGTATTCTTGATAGATGAATTTAATTGTTAATAATTATTGATGAAGAATCAAAAGGTAGATTTGGGGAAGCCATCGTTAAATTATGATGATAGTTTTTTGTAAAGCTATAATTATCTCACTGACAAAGCCATAATGGAGGAGAGGACAATTTGCAATTAAGTTTTCCTCCACTGCCATCTAGAAAACTTGACTCTTGGTTAAATAATACACTAATATCTAAAACACAGAGAAATTGTTTTACTGCTATATAGATGAGGTTTATGCTAGTTAACGCAAGCATTAATTTATTGGTTAGTGTTAAGAAAGATGCCTTTATAATTCTAAATGATTATGATGAGACGGTTAAGAAAAGGCAGTGTTTCAGCATCCAGAAATCTCCATATTAATCTAAAATTTCAATTCTAGTTTTTTGTCTTTAAAATGGGCAGCTGAATAGGATCACTGTCTAGAATAAAAGGTAGAAATCAGTTTAAAAATTAGCGGTTTGAATTCTGCGCCTCTGTTCACTTGCATTCAACAGACAACATAAAACTTATCAAGACTCTATTAGCAGAGCAAATTATAGGTTTTGTAACGCTTTCTTCTTTTGACTGGAAAAATACACAAGCGCTCAGGGTAACTTAAGTGAACTTACTTCCCAAGTGAGTACTTCTTAATGTCATACTTTGTACAATTTAGGCCCAAATGGTACATGTATCTAACTACTTGCTGCATAGGCACAAATACCTATATCATATTATTTATATGTGCAAATACGTGACACACAAAAACAGATTTCAGAGCAACATTAGAGAATGGATTTTTGTACCTTCAAATAAAGACACCACTCAGTATAACGTGTGATTTTAAAATTGACTTTTATCATAAGTTAACATTAGGGGTATTTTTAGTTATTTGCTTTCATTACAAATAATTAACATTTTAGGAAGCCCAAGAACTATAGCACTCACCAGCTCATCGATGTCATGGCTTAGTATATTCTCATACTTCACACGGATTTCAGTTGTTCTATTTCCCATTGCACAACTAGATGAATTCACTGGTGACAGAACAAGGAACAGTGGCAGAACCCGAAAGATAGATCTAAAAAAGGCTGGATTACAACAAGAACAGTTAAGTACATTTTAAATGCCACAGAGTGTATGTTGTATTAACAAACATACACTGCAATCTGTTAAAATAGTTTAAAGGAGATCTTTGTACGCTTCTACCAAATGACTTGTACCTTAAGGGAAAGATTTCGCTCCAGACTGATACCATATGGGCACTAGGTGTCTAAACTCCATCACGCTCAAGGGTGATTTAACCAATGCAGTTAAAGAGCTTGCAGCTACTAAATTGACCAGCTGCTTGGTGTCCCCAGGCTGGGCTGGGTTACTCTCCAGGCTTTACTGAAAGCACTGACTAGCATCTCCATCGATGATAACAGGACCGTAAACACTTAGCACATATGTAGATGAATAAATTCAAGTGCCTGAATCTGGAGCTGAATCCCACCGTAATTTTGCTTACATTAAATTCTGCAAATGCCAATGACCATGCCTTTATGTCAAAGTGTGTTGAAACACATTTTCAGGCTGCCCAAATGCTCAAATCCCAGCTAGTGGGTGAACCTGAGATGAAGCAGCAATATAACCTTGTTTGCAAGTATTTTGCAATCTTTGGGAGCAAGTCTTACTGCTCCCCTCTTTGCATCTCCCCTCACAGGACCATCCTGTTTTGCTCAGACCCCTGTTCTTCTGTCCTTGGATGACATCCAGGAAACCAGGAGCTCTGTTAGGAAGGGCAAAGAGAGAAAGGACCAAGATACCACAAGAGCCTGAAGGAAATGATAGGGTAACTGGAGGATGCAGGTGACTGGCCTGATACTGGGAAGCTGTGGGTACAGGATGACACAGGGATTACAAAGTTAATAATTGGAGATGGGCCTACAGCTATGAGACTGAAGTAGGATGATACTGAAACAGAAGATAACAGAAATAAATAGGGAGAGAAATTTAGGTTGGTGGATGAGCAAAGATAGAAGCAGATTACTGGAGTAACACGAGAAACACTGATCCCACTCTCTTGCGTACTGTGTACCCTAACAGTTGCCCTTTTCTCTCTTCTCTAACGAACCAAAAGAAGAGTAGCCCCAATGTAGTACAACTGGGAGACATCGCAGCTCGCAGAAAAGGCAGAAGGGATGTCCTGATCCTACTGCTACTTTCCTTCCTCTCCAGCAAGGATGGGAGCTGATCCACTGAGCGCAGCCAGTTCAGCACTCAGAGATGCTCTTGGGCCTTACTGGTGAATTCCAGCTTCAGTGGGAAATCTTGAACTGCAGAATACTAGAGATTAAAGTACAATTCCTATCCCTAAATCCACTCTTAAAAAAACACATTCTGGTTGCGTATCTTCAAAAAAGAAAACTGTGAACTTGTCCATGATCTGTACTGAGCCACCTAACCTCTGTGATGCGATAACCACAGCCACGCTGTGCACAGGTCTGGCTTCCACTGAAACTCTATCCCTCACACTCCATCCCAGGTGACTCCTGCTGGAAGCTGTCTCTGCAAAGAAGAATGTATACTACTTTTCCTGACTACTAAATCCCTTTTTCCTTATAGATTATTGGTGAACACACTGTCATATAAACCTCTGTCCTAGAAACAGGAATAAAAATTTTCCTCTGTACAGGCTGAATTCCAAAATTCAGTTTGTAGGACTGCGATTTAAAGCTAAAAAAAAAAAAAAATTACAGAAAAATGCAAGAACTCAACAACTCCTTCCAGTATACCTCTATACCTCTTGATTCCAGTACAAAAAAGGAACTGTAATACTTGTTTCCACCTTAAATTGGATATGTTGCCTCTAAAATATACTTCCAAATACACAAATATCGATCTTCTAAATTTAAGTCAATGTAACAGATTCCATCACTTTTAAAACTCAGTTTCTCCAGTCACGTGTGGAGATAACAAATGAAAACTGCACAGGAAAAAGTCGAGTCACTTCTATTTCTTTAGTTTGCCTGTAATGTACAGATTGTGGTTTTTTTTTTTAAATAAACCGCAGAATCAGAGCAAATGTTGCACAGCCAGCAGGTCCCTCCGCCCATGGCAGAATCACTACAAAGAAACCTGTTTAGATGCACCTAAAGTAGTCCTCTGGAACCCATTACACTGATATCATAAAAAATGCCAAGAGCTTTGGACTACTGAGAAGTGCAAGAAGTTTTCTTAAAGTTAAGCAGCTCCAAAAGAAGCAGAACGGATCGTGCTCCGTACGCCTCACGCTTCTGAGGAAAGGAAACTGGTATTACTGGGAATTACTTCTGTCCTTTCAGCAAAACTCCCTCAAACTCCTAAGCTATATCTGGAAAGCCCCTACAAGTCCTCTGACAAAAGCCGGGAACAGTTGGCATTCCAGTATTTCCAAATCTAAAAAAGCCCCTTTTTTTTAAAAAAAAAAAAGGCGACTTTTGTGCACGCAGCCTGGAAGTGGCACTCCCGACGTGCCCGCGCCTGTGCCGGCGAAGGAGCGCAAGCAGTTCCCCGACGGACCCTGCCGGCTCCAGCTGCAGCAACGTGCCTCGGGGGCTATTGGTTCCTCTCCCTCCCCTCCAAGGGTCCCGCATCTCCGAGGGCGACACACTCTGCCCTTCTCCCCCGGGCCCCCCGGCGCCGCTGCCAGCCCATGCAAGCCTCGACGGGGATTTTCTCCTTTTTTTAAAGGTGTTTTTTTCCCCCGCCTCCCTCAGTGACTCCGCACACGGATGCGGAGAGGCGCGCTAGGGTTCCGCGGGGTCGCTCCTGCAGGC